ATGGTCAGTTTTTCCTTTTTTATTTGCTAATTAGGGATGGGCGTATCGATCCTAAGTATCGATATATCGATACTGACGCGAGTATCGAAAGTATCGATACTCAAACTAAAAATATCGATACTAAGGTGTGTTTTATTTACCAGTGATTTTGTTTATTTAAAATAATAATAATAATAATAATAATGTGTACAAATGCATTGAATTGGATTGAAAACCTTTGTTAGCGAGTAATTGTGTAGGATAGAACTATTTTCCATTTAATAAATTTCATCATTTAAAAGTTTAATTCAGAAGTATCGTATCGGTATCGACGATACTGCCTTGAAAAATATCGGTATCGTATCGAAAACAAAATAAGTGGTATCGCCCATCCCTATTGCTAATGTTAGTAAATGTTTACGTTAGAGTGCACGTCCTGCTGCGCTGTAATTAATAGGTGAGCTGTTGAAAATAGCGACCTCTCCTGTTTGGAGACAGTACTAACATCATAAACTGAAAGCAATCTTTACGCGACTTAACTTACTTTTCAAATGTTTTAAAGGGGTCCTATTATGCTTTTTCTCTTTTTCAACTTTAGTTAGTCTGTATTGTTGTTGTTTGAGTATAAAAAAGATCTGCAAAGTTACAAAGCTCAAAGTCCCCTTCAAAAGGAGATATTTTATTTTTACAGAAATCCCTTTGCAAAAACTACAACGAACGACTCGTTTGGACTACAACACATATTTTCCGGGATTTGTGATATCACAAATACCGACGAATGGGACGAGATCTGGTTGAGCTGCACCAGAGAAGGCAACGAATGTTATACGAATTCGGGAACTGGTAAGTTCCCTGACTCACTGCATGTTGGGACAGTGATCGCTTGAATTCCAGTGACATGATTATGTACAACGTCCATGGACAACATAGTAGAACGTCATCACTGGAATTAATAAACAACAGGCAGGACCAATCTAATTATTATCCAATACATGTTCTTACAACATTTCAGCCGAATATTAATTATAAATGATAATTAGATGTGTTCATTACCCCATGTGTGTTTATGTTGAAATATACAAAAAAAACGGTCCGTCTTATCAAATCTTATATTGCGTGTCATTATATTTATCGCGTTGTCTCCATTGAATCGTGTGGTTTATGTTTCAGCTTCAGAAATGTTTTTTCCGGTAAGGGAGCATAGTGAGCGCCGATGTTTTTTGAGGGAGCGAACGTTCCAGTGCACTGGAAGGATTTTACGATTGAGACAGCCCTTAAATCCAAGTTTATTTGTACAGCGCTTTTCACGATACAAATCATTGCAAAGCAACTTTACAGCAAATTAAGTTTCTACAATATTTAGTGGTAGTTTATCAGTGGTGACTGTCAGTCAATGTACATATGGCAGAAATGTACGGAAAAATCAATTTAAGATGTAATCAAACAGACGATGAACACTATTAACAGCAATTATTATATGATGCAATCAAACTTATAGCAAAATGTGGTAGTTCTGTATGTTCTGATCAGTGCCCTTACTACTGAACAAGGGAGCTGATTGAGATGCACCCTAATAGGCCTATAATCCAGCGGGCCGTACTAAAAGACCTGGCGGGCTGCCAGTTGCCCATCTCTGAGTTAGAACGTTCCCCACCTGCACAACCTGGTTAGTGTCTTCTGCTACTTAGCTAAATACTTAACCTTCATCCATCCCTCCCGAACCTATAACAAAAGTGTCCCTCAAAATGACCCGAAGACCAAAAATGACACTAGTTTTATTTTTGGTCCAGAAAGGTTTTATTATTATTTTTGGTTATTTTTATTTCATTCACATTAAATTCTGGATATTTTTTATGAAAATTAGCATATTTAATACATTTTTTCACCAAAAAAAAACAACAACAAAGAAAAAGACAATTTCTGCATATTTATACTTTAAACATGATCATCCATCAGGACCTAGGTCACCGAGTGTCTCTAATGTCATCTGGTGGGGAAAAATTACATAAAATTGCATTTTATGATTACAGCCACTAGAGGGGCCTATAGAACCCTATGGAGATTTTTAAATGTGCCAAACAAGTGAAATGTTTAAAACTACACCAACTTGAGGCTTCATTAAGCTTTCAGATATATCTCAAGGCTTTCAGATATGTATCAAAACATTAAAATATATATATATATATTTTGTAAAAAAACAAATTAATGAATGAATTTTAATCCAAACACATGCATATTCATACAGTTTCATAAATATGTAATAACTATAAAAGATAAATAAAAATATATAAATATGATATAAACTCATTGGCCTCCACCCCATCACTCAAATTTAACTGTGTTAAGTTAAATTTCATTTTAAATAAAATATTTCCAAATGACAGTCATTTCCCAGCAGAAACATCATACAAGCTATAATGTGTTTCAATGTGAGTGTGTGTGTGTTTGTGTGTGTGTGTGCCTGTGTGTGTGGATATGTGCGTTTTTTGTGCATAGAGGACATACTGCAGTCTCAGCTCTTTGTTTAGGTATGCATCTTTTCTGGATTCAAAAATAAAATAAATTAAAAAATGCTGTTTTTTTTCCAGACATTCCATTCGTTCCTATGGCCGGGTCAAAATTAATGTAATACTTTTTTTATTACACCCACATAGAATCCTCGAATCGACTTGTGTGTGTTCGGAGCCCCTAAAGTACGGAGTCCCTAAAGGGACATGGCGGTGGAAAAAAATCTGATTGAGTGAAAAAATTTGGGGTGGGAGGAAAAAAATATTTGTCAGATTTTTTGAGTTCCCTCGCAAAACTTTTGCATTCCCTCGAGAAACTTTGCGTTCCCTCGCAAAACTTTTGCGTTCTCTCGCAAAAGTTTTGCGAGGGAACGCAAAGTTTCTCGAGGGAACGCAAAAGTTTTGCGAGAGAACGCAAAAAAAAATTCCTCCCACCCCGACTTTTTTTCCCACCACCATGTCCCTTTAGGGGCTCCGTAATAATGACCCGCTAGGGACACTTTTGATACTTTTTTTATAGCACCCACTTAAACTGGTCGAATTCACTCGAATTTTATTTCATGTATTCCCGGTTCAAGTGTGACAAATGTAACAAAGTCTCATACCAAAAAGATCAACGCTCGATTTAAAATTTTTTTTTTAAAATGAGTTTCGGGTCAAAATGACCCGAGGGACGGATACTGCGGTCAAGCCAGTCGCGTTTTGAAAATGCACGGTCAAGCCAGCCGCACTTTTTTTTTGTTTTGCGCGTGTAATTGTGTACTTACGGTACGGGTGCTGAGAGCAGTCAAAATGCATGTAAAGAAGCTGTCATACCGACGTTTCCTTTATAATTAGCTTACCGGTATTTTACCTTTTATTTTTAGTTTGTAAATACATTATTTTTGTACATAAACGTTTGTATTGTACATTAATTATTATAAATAATTTATTAATGTTTATAAATGTTCATATGAATGTTTTATATTCATTGTTTTTTTTAATTTAATGTTTATGTGTGTGTGTGTGTGTGTGTGTGTGTGTGTGTGTATAACAACAAAATGCGTCCTAGCACTTCCACTGTGTCCAATTTTCCAACACTCATAAAAAGTGTTCATTTATAGGTTAGCTCTTTCTTGCAATTGATATGTGTTCAGAGTGACCCTGACTATCACTGTATGTATTTTCAAGGCATTGTACTATATAGTTTTGGAGAAACCTATAAAGGAACACCTTTTATGTGTGTTGGAAAATGGGACACAGTGAAAGTGCCAAGACGCATTTTGTTGTTTGCGGTGATTTTGCTTTTAGATTTCTCCAAAACTATATAGTACAATGCCTTGAAAATACATACAGTGATAGTCAGGGTCACGCTGAACACATATCAATTGCAAGAAAGAGCTAACCTATAAAGGAACACCTTTTATGTGTGTTGGAAAATGGGACACAGTGAAAGTGCCAAGACGCATTTTGTTGTTTGCGGTGATTTTGCTTTTAGATTTCTCCAAAACTATACAGTAAAATGCCTTGAAAATACTTACAGTGATAGTCAGGGTCACTCTGAACACATATCAATTGAAAGAATGAGCTAACCTATAAAGGAACATTTTATATGAGTGTTGGAATATGCGGAAATAATTAAAGTGCAACAATGGAGTTTTATGTTTGGGGTGATTTTGCTTTTAGATTTCTCCAAAACTATACAGTAAAATGCCTTGCAAATAAATACAGTGATAGTCAGGCTCACTCTGAACAAATATTAATTGAAAGAAAGAGCTAGCCTATAAATGAACACTTTTTATGAGTGTTGGAATATTGGACACAGTGGAAGTGCTAGGACGCATTTTGTTGTTATACACACACACACACACACACACACACACATAAACATTAAATTAAAAAAAACAATGAATATAAAACATTAATATGAACATTTATAAACATTAATAAATTATTTATAATAATTAATGTACAATACAAACGTTTATGTACAAAAATAATGTATTTACAAACTAAAAATAAAAGGTAAAATACCGGTAAGCTAATTATAAAGGAAACGTCGGTATGACAGCTTCTTTACATGCATTTTGACTGCTCTCAGCACCCGTACCGTAAGTACACAATTACACGCGCAAGACAAAAAAAGTGCGGCTGGCTTGACCGCAGTGGACGGATGAGGGGTTTAAAAAATAAATAAATAAATAAAATTAAAGAGAGAGAGAATTGTAATTTACTATCGTTAAATAAATGTTCCGTGATATCTTCCAATGTTTTCAATGTAATATTAAAACTATGTTTCCCTTAGTAGGCTGTACCTTATTATTATTGATTTCACCCTACATTTTAGTTTAAACTATGTCAATTATAGTAGCCTATTAAAATTACTTTGGGTGGTCATGCAAGGTCAGTTTAAGGATCAGATTAATATTTATCATGAGTTAAGCTTTCGTTAGTTGTGAGGAGGGAACTACCAGTGTATAGAAACCAGCTGGTGAAACGAAACCGAAAGTTTAGTGAATGCAATAAGAAGCAGAACGGAGGGGAACTGCAACACATAGCTCGGTTTGCTGACAGGAGTGAAGACTATTCAGGGAGAGCGACTCCCCAAAACATGCATCTGTCATCTTTATACAATGCCAAGGATCAATTCAAGTATGTCATAATGCATGTTGTTGTTAATATTATAGACGATCGCTTTGCAAACGATTCTGACAAAGGTTTATTTTTTCTAATATATAGGCATATAGGCCTATATATTATTATTATTATTATTATTATAGCCGATGCGGTTTTTAATTATGTATTCTCAAATTTGCCTATATTTAACTGTATTTAGACACTTTTTACATTTCTCTTTTCGGGAAACGTGTGAGGCAGTATTATGTCTGATAAAGGAAACCTAAGAGAAGTTATAAGGAAGTTGTTATTGATGAGTAGAGTTTGTTATGAGATTAAGTTATGAGCTGTGGAAAAAAACCTTATGAATTTGAGATCTGTCCTTGAAGTCACTAAGGCTATGCAATATCCTGTGATTCCTTATGAAAATTTACCATAGTCATTATACCATATTTCCACTGTAGTTTTCGCGATAAGACCATATGCTAATTACCACAGGTAAAATCATGGATGGCTCCTTGCCATGGTTAGACAATGGTCACTGTACAGCAAACTATGGCATATATGATATAGAAAATCATAGCTTAAACACGTTAAAAACAATACTGCAGTAGTACCTCCCTCACTACTGATTAATAATAGTAGACCTATAGTAAAACCAAATGATTTTTTTCATTTAAAAAATGCATAAATTGTTTATATTTATATATTACATGCATATTACAGACATATAAAATATTTATCTTTGAGAATCTTTGACTTTTGAACCTCTTTTGCAACAACCAGGAAGCCACAAGCTGTGAGAAGTTAAACAATGACAAGGAAGAGAAAGAGTGGAGAGAAAGGAAAGGCAGGTGCACAGAAGAAGGGGGCCAAAAAAAGAGATGGTAGCACATCTTCATCCAGAACACGTTCACAGAACCAAACAAAAGGCAAGCATACTAGTCACCCAAGCCCGGCCAGATCCAGATCCAGATCCAGAGGCCGTGGACAGCACAGCACGGGTGCAGCAGAGCCTGAACCACTGAGTAAAGATGTTCAGACTCAAACAAGCTCAAGTAGGCTTGAAAACAAGGAGACTCAGACGGAGACTGTCAGTCAAGCAACACAGCAGACACAAACAGAGCTCAATGGCAACACAGAGACCACAGAAGTGTCACAGCCAACAGAACTCAATCCTGAAGATGTTAAGATGCAGATGGAAACTGGCCTACCAAGGATCAAAGGAAACGAAATTGATGGAGAAAAGGATGAAAGTGTTGAGAGAAAGAAAAGAAAAGTGAGTGAATCAAGAGAACCTACAGAGGAGACTAAAGAAAAGACCAAACTCTCAGATGGTTTAAAAAAACAAGATAGAGACAATCAGAAAGACAAAGATGCAAATAAAAAACGTTCAGAAGGAGATTCACAAAAAGACACTAAACTCAAGTCAGGAACAGAAGAACCCAAATCTTATGCAGCAGCAACTGCTGCTACAGGAAAGACTGAACTGTCTAAGGAGCAGAGGAATCAGACAGCAGCAGATCAAGACAATAGTAAAAGAAGGTTTGCAACATTATAATATAATGCACTTACAATATCAAATGTTTGATCTTAATAGATACCATATATGACCACTAATTGTTTAAATATTTAATAATGTTATTTTTATAGAAAATCTTCCCCAGTGAGGGCTCCAAGCAAACAACCGATGTTCACTTTCTACATTTATGCTGTTCTGGACAAAAAATTCAGATTTAACACACAGCATGACTCTCTTTTGCTCCTTCATGGGAATGAAGTCTTTCAACTACAGATTACATATTTTTTGTAAGTCTCTCATTAATGTATAATGACAACATAGTTGCCTATATTATAGCCTACAGGTAGCAAATAAAATATGAATTGTACAAGAACGTGTAAAAGTTATGTGATCTTTGTGTTGTAAAGTGTCAGTGTTTTTTAATTCAATGTCGTTTTTCTTTGCTTAGGGGTCTAAAACAGGAAGGCTATTTGATTGAAGCAACATTTTCACTTTGGCAAGGCATTGGCAGGGGTGTTCCAATAGAATACACATATGCAGTGCAGAAACAAAATGGCCCCATTATGGAAACAGCATTAAGATATGTTTACACCCCCACTGACAATACAGTAAAAGGTACTAAAAAGTGTTACAGTTCTTTGGTAATTCATTGTACATTGTATGTAATGTAATGCCTGATCTGTGTTGTGTTTCCTCTCAAGAACTGCACCTTTATGAAGGTTACATAAGTTCAAGTTCAAGATCTGTTAAAGAAAGGGCGATGAACTGGATCTTTCAGAATGCACAAGAAGAAATTAGCAAATGCTGGGAGACCTCTGCTCATGCACTGCTGGACAGAGTGTTTAAGAAATGGGGGTCATTTAATGATGAAGACAACAAGACACTTATCGAACACCTAAACAGTTACAAACAATGTTTTCAGTCAGTCATGAGACGTTTGAAATTTCTAGAAAATCTCTCCCCTTCTCAAATAGAAGTAGGTGTGAGCTTTCTTTATTCCATTTTTAAAAGACTACCCTAACAGAGCTGTAGAATTATAGCTCTGCCCTCTTTGTTTTAGGTCTCAGAACTGATTTCTAGTAGACTGAGTTGGATTTTGAAAGGAGAATCTGGAGGGAAAACTTCAGAGAGCTTGTCTGAGATCAAATCATTGGAAGTGGCCCTCTCAGTGTTCCAGGTGTGCTGTGGCTGTGATGTGGATCTTGGCCCAAAGGACTGGGGCAAACTCTGCCAAGTAGTCTCTGAAAGGATGGAAACAACCCTATCAACCCTACCTTTAACTGACTTGTAAGTAAGGTTTATTGGACAAATCTGTAGTTTCAGAAAATTTGATTTTATCCATGTCCCCTAATGCGCACTATAAAGCAAAGCCTTGCCTACTGAATAGCTGTTATTGTTTTACATATTGACTTAGGTATGTCTTAAAAGACACCACAATATCATCATAATTTTGGTTTCTTTGTAGCATTGTGGTGGGACTGATGAATCGATGTGCAAGGAAGCTGATCTCAGAAGTGGTGTTACTTGTTCCTGTCCTTCATTTACTGAGAAAGCCAGGGGCAAAGTCAGATCCAGGCTCAGCTATGACCGAACAGAAATGGGCAGGGCTTGAAAACATAGAGTATCCATCTTTTAGGGAGAGAATTAGAGGACTCCCTGACAAAAGGAGGTTTGTCCAAATACTTTTAGAGGAGCTCATTTTAATTCTCAAAAATGTATAACTTGAATATAAATATGAGACATATTACATGTGTTGTTCCTAAAATTGTAGGATGATCCTTCAGCTGATCAAAGATCACTCATCAATGAGCAAGGATAATCCTTACTTGTTGAAAAGCTGGCTTTCCATTGTGGCATTTGAGG